TTGAAGAATATGCAGAAAAAGAAGGGCCATGAAAAGACACGAGGAAAAAAAAACCAGCATTAGTGAATGTGTACAAGGGAAAAATTCTGGATGTTCAGTTGGAACAGTCCAAATACCCAGCACTAGGGAACTTTTTAACTAGATTATATACAATTCATACAGTGGATTGCAGTGCAGCCTTTTTACAGGGAAAATTTTACTTACTAAACTAAAATATGTTGCATATTATATAAAAACAAAGCAAGTTACAAAATAGTAGGATTTTATTGCTTAAAATGTGTATAGATGAAGGGTAGGAGGAACAGAGAAAACACTAGAAAGAATTATACAAATATGTTAACAGTGTTTATTTTATGGATGGTAGATTGATGGGTGATTTTTTTAAATTGTAGTAAATGTATATTTTTAAAAGGAAAAACTATTAGGTTGGTTGGTTGGTTGGTTGGTTGAAGAGTTTAAGGAGTGGGACACTCTGGGAAAAGAAGGACGTGCCTCCAAGGGTTCAAGTCTGATTTGTGAAGCTAGAGGGAGGAGAAGGTATGATGAGGTGGATGGGGATGTGTTGGAATGGCTTCATATACTTAAGTGAGAAACTAGCCCCTTTCTAATTCTGCATTTGAGGCATGTGGTTTGAGTTTCATGTCTCCTGTTTCCCTCTTTTGTCTGTGGTGGGTTTGGGTGTATCTTTATCTGAAGGCTTAGTGACCAAGAATTTCCCCCTGGCTGGGGTATAAGGACGGGTTGTTTCTTTTCATTTCTTGCTTTTAAAGTGGGGGAAAATATTTTCAGCTTTTCACAAAGGGCTTTGAAATCTAGTCATGGAGAGTACTCTGTCACCTGAAACTGGTCATTAGTGTGCAACCTGTTTGCTAATAAACCAATACAGGACCCTGGTGTCAAAATGCTTAAAACGGTCAAATCAGCTGGGACCCTGTTTCTGCATTTGACATGCCTTTTCCATTTCCCAGCCTCATGCAGAACATAAACCTGAATGAGGAGGTGGCTCAACGTGAACTCTGATAAATTGCAGTGGGTATCTAGGGATTGGGGAGCAGACACTTCTTCTTTTAACCTTTCAAGACCAAGACTCATATGGCCCAAAATCCACCATGTATTGAACTTAAGGTATGAAAGCTGTACAGTGTATTAAATGTGAATTTGAGACCAGGAATTCTACCCACACTGACTCTATAAAACAGCCTCCCTTTTTCATAAAGCAGGCCCATAAACCGCTGCCAGCGAAGCAGAAAGACTCCTTAGGTCCATGGCTTGCTTTCCGTCTGGAGTTGTCAACAAACCCCCTTTATGAGTGGAATAGACCTCTTGTATGTGTCGAGCTTCTGGCTTTTTACAGAGTGTGTTAGGAGCCAGGCTAGGCAAACGTTAGGCGCTGTTTGCTGAGTGCATTTATTGCCTTTGCATAATTTATGAGCTGGAGGGGTTGACCATCATTCGTCTCTGCCAGGGGCTGGCACTCGAGGCTCCAGAGAGCGGAGCTGTAAATTGGATGGTGTGCTCCTGCTGAGCTCACGGCAAAGTCCTCGGGTCAGTATGGGAATTTAATACCAGAAATGGAACTGTTTTCTCAGCACACCATGTGGGCCCCAGTGCAGCAGAGACTGTTTTGGCAGACTCTGCGACTGGCCTTGTCGAGGAGCTGTCACTCACCCGGCATGTTGTGTGGGGAGCCTGGGCATTTTTAATCGGCTTGGCATCCGTGCTGTTTCCATAATGGATACCAGTAGGTCTCAGTTCTCCACCATATGCTTAACTCTGGAGACAAGGTGCTTCTGGGTATATCAGTAATTACTTGATGCGGAATTAAGTGGACCTTGAAATTAGAACTGGACTGTTGGAAAGCAGGAAGCTTAACACTTGGATAGAAGTAACCATTCCCTGGGACACACTGCTGTTAGGAGCGGGGTGGGGGGTGGACAGTGATGGTTCTTTCCCGACCTCCCTACTCCTTCTGGCCCCTGCACACCAGTCCTTGGGGATGTGGGCAGATGCTATGCCACTGCCTTCAGCTGTCATTGATTACCTCACAGGACAGGCTGTGAACATCTGGGAACGTGAGCCTGCCTGGCAAAACCCTCTTCTCTCTTCCACACCCCTCCTGAAGCATGCTTTGTCACTCTTGAAAATGTGCCCAGAACTTGGGAACCTCAAGGAAGGTTTAATTAAAGGCAATGGAAAAATCAAACAATTAGAACTTTTGTTCCCGATCTGTCTGTTGTTTTTAGGCCTTCAGAGTCTTCATGTCACCTATTTTCTTTGTCTACCTGTTCAACTTTTTATAGTAGAGAAATCTACTTACCAGGCAAAAGAAAGTAAGTTTAGACCATCTGGGATTGGAAGGTTGGTTGAAAATAATGCAGTTGTACCCGGTTAAAGCACTGTCTCTAAAACTCTGATAACCCTATGGCACTGAGGAGCCAGTGGAAAAAGAGAATGTTATAACCCTCCAGTCTATAAAGTTGTGCTGTGAGTATCTAGATGCTTATAGTGTGCAGAGAGCTTAGGCTGGAAAGAGGCAGTCGTCTCCAAATTGTGTCTTACAATACCAAGATGTCCATTTGGAAGAGGTTTTTGTTATTTTCAACTGAAAACATTCTAACAGTGGTTTAAACATTGAGGTAACTAATTATCTGACCAAAAAAGTCCAGAGGCAGGCTGCTCTGAGGCTGGTTCAAGTGGCTCAGTTGTGCCAGGGTTTCTCTTCCTTTAGCCTCTTCATCTTGTTTTTGTACTTAGACTTTTAGCCTCCTTTTTGCAAGATGGCTGCCACAGATCTAGACATCACGTCATCATGAGATCACGTTCAAAGGCAAAAGCGCTTCCTGCTTTTCTCCCTTTTTTGAAAAGAGAAAAGTTTTCAGCAGACATTTCTTCAAGCCTCAACCAAAAGTATATCTGGTAGCCACCCTTAGCTGCAAGGAAATTTGGGGGAGAGAGAATATCTATCTGGCTTTTTTCAATCTCGAAATTGCGGGACAAGGTACGGACTAGAGAGAAAGGATTGTGAATGGCTATGGCTGTCTAGCCAGTAGTGACTGCTGTATAAGCAAATTTATTTTCTGTTTCTGTTCATAGCAGCATCAGCTCCCATATCCAGGTGGCCACACTAAAAAACCTTGGCATCATCCTACACTCATCTCTCTTACTTGCTTCCCATATCCATGTGTAATCAAGTCCTGTGGGTTCTACCTTCAGAATCTCTTTGCCATCTGTTCATCCCTTTCTCAAACCACACACCGTGCTGGCTTAAACAGTATAATGGTTGCCAGACTGGTGTTCCCATGTCCTGCATCTTTCCCCACAGCGCACTGCCTCTCCTCCACCACGGGAAGAGTCCTCTTCATCGAACATAGCTCTGATCACCCCACACCTGTGCTCGGGGTTTGTGTTCTAAGTCTATTTCTACTGTCACGTGCCACAACAAACAATGTTTCAGTCGACCAATATATATGGTGGTCCCATAAGATTATAAGCTGAAAAATGTTATCACCTAGTGACGTTGTAGCTGTTGTAATATTGCAGTGTGACTCGTTTCTGATGTGTTTAGGGGGACGCTTACGTAAACCAACCTATTGCACTTCCAGGCCTATGAAAGAATAGCACCTACTATTATGTACAGTACATAATATTGATACTTGTAACAGTTACAACTGTGTTCCTGGTTGATGTATTTTCTCTACTTTTTATTGTTTTTTTAGAGTGTACTCTTTCTCTTATTAGAAAAAAGCTTGCTGTAAAGCAGTATACGGTGTCACAGTGGCCACAACCTCATACGTCTCATGTTTACTGCGTCTCTTGACTGCATGATTTTCTCTTGTGCTTGATTTAATCTCATGTTGTGTTTTATATAGAAATGTGCTGTACAGGCTTGTAGCCTGGGAGCCACAGACTATACCACAGAGCCTAGGTGTGTAGTAGGCTCTGCTGTTTAGGTTTGTGTAAGTGCACTCTGTGATACTCACATAACAATGAAATCGCCAAACAAAACATTTCTCAGAAAATATCACTGTCGCCATGCAGTGCATGACTATACTGCTAAACTAAAAGCTACTTTAGGGCCAGTTCTATGCCTTGTTTGAATATCTGTCTAGCTTAGCAGTGCTTCTCAAGGATGGTTGAGTAAATGACTTGATATATTTATCTGCTGTGCAGTTACTATAACAAAACACATGCCCTTTTTGAAAATAAAATACTGTATAACAAAACATTCTTGTTTTTTTTTTAAAAAAAATTGTTTCTTGCCCTCTTTTCTTCTAGTAAGGAGCTTAGTGCTTTGGGTTTATTATCATTCTCTAGTTATCCCAAATCCAGCTCACCAGTTGGCGCTTGGGATCTGTTAGACATGGTGTGAGTCTACCACCATAAAACTTTTTTTTTTTTTTGCCTATATTGTTGATTTGTTACACTGAACTCTTCCCCTTGGCATGTTTTTTATAAGGAATATTCCCTCTGTTCTCTGGGCCTCTAAACCCTGGAAGAGCCAGCCATCCCTGGTGCTGAGCCTCAGCCATTATGTTCTCTTCCCTTCCAAGTCCACATGAGGGAATGCAGTGCCCAGAGGTTCACCTCTTGTCTTGTAGAAAAGCACCAGTAAAGAGACAGCCACCAACATTAGCAGAATGTAGAAGGTCTCCATTAAAGAATTGATTTTGCTCTGAATCCCATTGAATGATCTTGATTCACCTTAATCCTGAGGCTGGGTTGGCCCCTCAGTGGGCATCCCCTCTGCTTTACAGGGTGGGGGTGGGGGGGCGGGGGGGCGGGCTCCCTGGTGTGACAGAGTATAGGTGGTGCAGGAAATCAACACAGCAACTTCTCAGCATTTTGCTTCCTTTCTGTTTACTAGCACTTGAGCTGAAGAAACTCTTTCCAGCTCAGACGTTTTCTGTTGCCTTGTCTTACTTTTTTTCTCTGTATCAGAAACAAAAACCTACTCAATTTTTGCACTAACCCTTACTCTCTTGTTTTCCTTTTCTTTTCAGTGTGACAGCGACAGTGACCAGGAAGAGAAGGTAAGACGCCCCTCCCCCACAATGGTGGGCGCAGTACACAAGGCACTGAGCACTGTGGTTCTCCCACACACGGCTGCAGGTGGTGGGGTGCCAGCCTCCTGGTGGGTGACAGCACCTTTCTCTTCTGTAAAGACGGGCCTCATTCACACACTGACATTTCCCATGATAGGAAATAACATTGAATTTGCGAAGTCCACTTTTTTTAAACAAGTCCTTTAATATTGTACATATGTGACACTAAGTTTTTACTTTATAGAAAATTATAAAAGAGGAAATTATTTATTTTAATAGTCATCTGATTTTTTTTTAACCTTTGATTGGGACATTAAACATGCTAGCATGTGTTTATAATGTCCTGTTTTCATTTGTTTGACTGGCCGACATGCTTTTTCCTGCCGTTCTGTGCACATGGGCCTTCTTGATGGAAACGGTAGTGGTAACGTCCCTAGGAGTGTCATCCTGGGGTCAGGGCGGGCAGGGGCGTCGGATGGGAGCGGTTCTCTTCTCATCCAGGTGGGTGGCCAGGCGGGAGGGCCATTCTCCCAGCAGGTACATACGCTTGTTTCGAGGCTTACGGCCACCAGCCTTTGTGTGTCCAGTTCAACATGGATCAAGAAAGGAGCTCTATTTTTGAGCTTTCAGAAGATTGGATCACTGCCTGGTAAAGTGAACTTTCTGCTGCCTGAAACAAAGGGATTGTTCCTTTGGTCCTTCTCTCTAGATGTTCAAATCCCCCAACCAGATTTCTTTTCAACTTTATTCCTACTTTAAGTATTTCAAAAAGAGTTTCCTGAATATTATGGATTCTGTATTACTTGGCACCGAAAGGAAGGGACTCACCCTCCCTTCCCCAATTTCTAGACCTGTCCTGTGGAACTGGCTTTCCGGAGCCCTGTTTTGCGACTGTCTCCTCCTGCATGCTTGCTGATTTTACTCAGAATCTGCAGTTCACATATAGCGGGATCTTTCCATCAGCCCAGATTTTTCCCTCCTTCTCTGCTGCTAGCCTCCCAGAGAGATGTAAAGGCTCTTGTTCTGTACTGTTGTTAATTTGAATTCAGCATATGTAGCCTGTTATAAAATGCGAGACATCATCATTTGAGCAGGTCAAGCATATTCAGATGAAGACAAATGGTGCTTATTTGATTTCCTTAAAATCAGGAAATGAAAAAAGTGCTCTCTGGAGAAATCATGTTCTGCCTGACTTGGAGGATAGACCAATGCATGTCCCCCAGATAAGAACAGGCTCTCGCCCTGAGGTTTTTATCTCTGAAGGACGGCCAGGACTGTCAGCTTGCTGACATGTGCATTATCCATGTCATTTTAAACAAAGTGACCTATGGAAGGGTGTGCTGTGCTGTGACATGGTAATGGGCTGTTGGATGACAGCGAAAGTACACACTGAGAAGGGGGCTGTGGATTATTCTTTTGTTTAACTGACAAGTAGGAGCTTCCTAACTCCAGCCCCCGGAGTCTCAGCTCCCTAGGAGCAGGTCCCCTCATGTGTCAGGGCCAAGATGTGGTGGGTGCCAGAGGCACACGGACAGCAGCAGAGGGTCGGTGTTCAGGACGTGCCCGCTGGCACCATGGAGCCATCAGGCCACAGTCCCGTGTGGCCGTCGCCATCACAGGCACCCAGGGAGGGATGGCACGTTCTGCCCCTCCGGGAGCTCTTCTGCAAGTGATGGGTTGTCCCGCCTCCCATGGCGGTGGCACTTCTTCAAGGGGATAGGCCTTCTTTGGGGTTTCACAGCCGAGCAGACATTCTTCCTTTAGAAGGCACTGTGAATTCCAGAAGTGTCGCCGGTGTCCAGCAGTGGCAGAAAGTGATAAGGATGTCCAGTTTTGCATTCTGTGTGTGTCTTGATCAGCAGTCTCAACCTTAACTGCACGTCCAGTCACTAGGGAAGATGTAAAGTCCCAGCGCCTGGGCCTCTTCCCAGGCCCATTACCTCAGAATCTTTGGAGGTTTCTAGCACCACTTGTCTAGACGATCATCTAACTAGTAATATGGGGAATTACCAAAGCTGCCTGTGGTTTTCAGAGGTGTTTCCCACCTACTGAGAACACCTGAACTAATCCTTTCCAGGGACCTGAATTCCCAAGTCCTTGCTGTTCAGTCTCTGAGTACAGGAAGCAGCGAAGTGTCAGACAAGACTAATGGGTGGTGGGAAAGTAGGCAGCGCCCACCACTCACAGCTTAGGATGATTTCAGGGCAATGAGGAGAATAAGGACATGTTTTTAGGCAAGTCCACAAAACTGGGGGGATGACGGGATGGGGGAGGGGCGTCCGTCGTTTCTCCTGGGGACTGCGGCAGCCCTGCAGCTCCTCTTCGTCCTAACTGGGAGCTGCCCCACAGCCACACACATCGCCTGTCCCTGCTCCCCACCTTCCAGGCGTTCCTCCTGTGGCCTCCTGGCAGGAGCAGTCGGGACTCAAGCTGTGGTCATGACTGCTCCGCCGGTTATACTTAAGACTGTCGGGCTTCCTCTTTTGGACTGAGGTCGTGTGGTGTTTATCACTGGCTTTAATACCATCCCCCCAGACTTGTGCTCTGCTCCAGCACCAGGGCCGCTGTCAGCCTCCTCTGGGCCAGAGCCTCTTGCCTGGGCCCCTGTCAAAGCCCCGCAGCTAACGGAGGCTGCTTTCCTATGCCGCTTGGAGGATTCGCATTCAAATCTGAATTGCTAATGGTGGAAAAGACGCCACTCAGTGCCCTGGGATTCCTTCAGCAACCCCACCAGGGACACTGTTGGAGGCAGGAGTGAGACTTGTAGGGCACCCACTGGGATTTCTCTCTGGAAGACCTGTCATTCTCTTACTCCATAGGGATCTGCAGAACCAGCGGTCTAAAATTAGGGTACTGTATTTCACACAGCTGACTGAATTAAGATAAACTCTGCTTTCCTCCGATACGACGCTGTAATTTATAAAATGATACCCTTACTAATTAATGTGGAAGTGACTGGTAAAGGGGCGAAGAAAGCAGAGCATTCCATAAATGCTGAAGATGTACTTGTGCATGGAAAAGGCTTTGATGAGACACTCAGCAGAGCAACTCCTTAGCCTCCCCTCCCAGCCCTGAGAATACGTTTTACATAATATCAGAGAACCCGGAGGACTTCGGTGGAGTAGAAATTGGGTGGGATAGTAGAAAAGGCTGTGAACATTGCATCTTAGAGGTGCGGTCGTCTTCACTGTAGTTAGTGCAAAGAGGCCGCACTTGGCATCTCAGTCACCCAAATTAAGCCGTTATTCCAGTCCCCCACTCAAAATGAATTGGTATCGTGTGAACAAAGAGGCAACACACATACTTCCCCATATCTGACCTATATTTTCTCTTGCTCCCTCCCTCTACCAATGGCAGAAGGCTATTATGCCATACAACACCCTCCTGTTTGGTTATGAAATTAATGTGAAGATTAAAATTCTCTCTTTATCTACTCATTTCTCTTGTGTTGTGTGGGCCACATGGAAGAGCTGTTTGGAAGGCATAGTGCCAAGTGGTAGTGGTCCAACACTTGGCCCCCAAGTCTGGTGGCCTGGGCTTCTTTCTGACAGTCCCTTACTACTTTGTAGCTGTGGACAAGCCTGAGTTCTCTCATCTGCCAAATGCGGGTAACAGCAGCTCCACCAGTAGTTTTGTGACAGTTCAGTGAAGGCATTTAGCTCAACTTGGCTCCATGCTGGTCCATAGTATGCGCTCCATAAATGTTAGTTTTCATTAGTTTTACTTGGAGTGAAAAGGGAGAGAACCACTTGGGATTGGAGGAAGCTTACCCTCCTCTTCAGAAAGCTCAGGCTCTGCCTGGAAACCTGCCAGAGGACTTCAGGTAGATTTGTTTCCACTGGAACCTGAGGCTCAGCCTTTGTGCCCAAGGGCACTTCTTCCTGCTATAAGCTGAGTGGAAGGGTAGTGAAATCCGGAAGGGTCTGCAAACAGTGTTTTTTGAACTCCTTATCTTAAACATCAGGCTTTCTTTTGGGTACAGCCTTGGAGCTGAGAGCAAGCAATGCTGTCCTGAAAGTGTCAAATAGCATTTAACTGGATTGTACAGCCCTTGTCCCACATGCCAAATACTGTCAGTTCCCAGATGCCCATCACTGAGGAGACATTCTGATTCAGTGAAGCCACAGGATGTGTATTTTTTAAAAAGTTTCCTAGGTAATTTTGATACATAGTTGGTTTTAAGGACCACTACCTTATAGCAAATGCCAAAGAGAAACTTACACTTTTCCTTTGTTAATGCTCTTAAAAATTTGAAAGCTCAGAGGAAAGACTTGAAAACTCTAGAGGTATTTGTGTACATGCACCCACGTGCTTATGTTTATAGGTGTGTGGCATATACAGACATTCAGTACACACATGCACAATCTCTTCATGGATATGAACTCTTCTCATTTTCCTAATGAAACTTGTACCATGAGTCCTGATTGCAGTTTCTCTGCCTGAGCTTTCAACCATTCGAGTGACCACCTGGAGAAGTTGCACAGCTCCTGTGCTTTTCTCACCAGAACATGGGACAGGCTCCTGGGACACTGGCTTATTGCAAATGCAATACCGTTTACTTTTCACATCAGCTCTCTCTCCCCCAACATGCACATACTTTTTGGTTGCATTATAATTTTTTAATTCACACTAAATTTGTTGGTTTGATCGTTTTTTTTTTTTCACTTGTGTGGGAAGGATGCAGTTTCTAAGAAAAGCAGCAAGAAGACCAACAGAGGCTTATGTTCCTAACTCAATTCAAACCACATGCCTGACTTGGCTCCTGAAGGACTCAGAAACTGCTGAAATGTCAAACTGAAGACTGGGCATGTGGCTCATGCTTACAGTGGAAGAGTCCCATCCCTTGACTGGCCACGTTTCACAACTGGTACAGATTGTGCACCCTCAGCAACATTCCAGAAGCTCAGAAGGCCCTCATTGTTCCTTGTAGAACCCCCATCCATGGTTTTGAAATAAGACATGTTCTGACCAAGAGACAACTTAGAGAT